CCAGGCTGCTAGTCAGGGCTAACGACTGCTGAAAATAATCACTGGCAAAGTTTTAAAGACCCTTTTCACAGAGATGGAGCTATTTAACCCAGAGGCAAAGGAAAAGTCTTAGTTAGAGAATTAAAACCCTTTGAGAGAGAAACATGGATATGTTTCCCTTTTGACCACTGCAAACACACAATTTCCCTTTGCAACCAACATTTATTTTCTGGGCAAGAAAAGAAAACTCTATGCATCTGAAAATTTATTTATCTGCTAGTCCAATTAAAGTCAGTGCTTTTAGTTGAAAATAACCTGAAATCCTGTCCACAGATGCATCTGCATGCCTGCACATGCTTGCTCCATAGCCCGTCCATCATCTTTTCATTAACATTTGCTTTTCTGGCGTAATTCCTCTGAGTTACAGCTTATATTTAAGTTTGGCCTAGTATCGTTTCAGGACACGTCAAACATCATATCTTTGCTTGACTCCCTAAGCCTCAAATCTCTCTCTCTCCTTCTCTGCTTCTTTCCTTTGTCCTACTTCAGGTTCTCATCATCTCTCATCGAAACCACGGCAGTAAGCCCCTTAACTGACCTCGTTGCCTTCAATCTGTTTTATAACCAAACTTCACTATTCAAAGATTTCTAACACACAGTCTGATCAAGTTTATCTCTGTCATTCAGCAGCTCCCTATCACAGACAGAATAAATTCTACACCTTGGCCTATCATTTCTCAGCAAATGACACCTTGAACCTTACATGTCATTTTTCCTTCTTTTTCTCCCATCTTCTCTTGAGTCATGTAAAACAACAATAAAAACTAACCATTCCCAGGACCTTCATGCCATGTCTTTCCTGTCCCTGGGGTTTACACATGCCCTTGTTTCTACTTGGAATTCTCTGTCCCACTTTTTCTGTCTATTGAATGTCTACACATCATTGAAGGCTAAACTCAAATGTCACCATCCCATTAAAGCTGCCTGTGTTGGCCAGATGTACTCTACACTGTTTTCAACAGTAATTTTCATAAACCAATTTTATCACTTCAAACCCAGTACTGTAATTCTTTCTTGACTTTGTATTTCACTGTATAAGGATTTCTATTAAGCGCAGGAGCTATGTTATCTTATATCCCAATGTATAAAATAAGGCCAGATGTATATCAGGTTCTTCATTATTTGTTGAATAAATGAAAATTACTGTGGCATCCAAAACACTACAGTTAGAAGCATGTGAATAAGAATCCTAGAGTGTGTCCCATAAAATGTTAATGAATATCTCGGGAAACACAGTTTCCTAAACACTGAAACTGTGAAACACACGGAATTCAATGACCTTTTATTCTTGTTCATGTTTAATACCGTTATGTCGCTCTTTCTTGTGTATTATACAAGATAAGCTCATTGAGGACAGGGACCTAAAATATCTCTTTGAGCCCAATTACAGATGCTCCGATGTCATTTTCTTATACAGAGCTACCTGGAAAATGCTTTAGCTCTGTTTCACTTTCCATACGTACATCTTTCTTCTCTCAGTTTGTAGTTATTTGGGGGCATATCCTCTTAACCAGGTTCTAAGATCTTTGAGGTGAGGAGGGATCTAAACATCTTTGTTCGCAGGAGAACATCTTACACAGTAGGTAGACAATATGTTTCTGACAAATGACTTAGAAAACATTAATTCAGGAAATACTGAGCGATTTTAAAAATGATAATTTTAGAAGGTGATGATTTCCATCCTAAACTAAAAGGCTTCGCTTTGCAAAACTAACTTAGCATGGAAAGTATGCGCTGGTAAATATTGCTGAGTGCAAAAATGAGGGGCTGACAACTTGGGTATCTAGGAGTGGAACACACCTATTTCAGAAAAACACCCCATGCATGTGAGGCTGCCATATCCTCCACTTATGAGGCCAGTACTATAAACTGCTTTACCTGGTGCTGTTAGGTGAGCGCTAATTGTATTATCTCCCCAACAAACGGCTCACACCTGAGAGACAGGGGTACAGTAAGGGGTTTGGAATTGAATTCTTTGAGCAAAGTTACTGTTAATGTGAAAACTGAACTTGAAGGTCATGGTTTCATTAACTTAGTCAACTATTGATTGATAGCCCGGTCCATCTTTGTCAGATGCCATTTTCACCTATTAGGTTTTTACACAGCAATGGGACATAAACAGAGAAATTACAAAGACAAATGATTTTGAAAAAAAAAAAAAGGTTAAAATTAAGATATCTGGGGATATCCAGAAACATTGGAAGACACTAAAATAATTGTTCCACATAAAGGAGACCACCTAGAGTTTCGATCTCTCCTGGCGAATTCTCACGTTTAATTTGCAGGGTGCAGAGCTTCTGAAGCGGGGCTGTGGGATATTGAACACTTTGGAATCAGAAAACTAGAAGGAAATGAAGACAGCAGGAACCAAAGGTGCTTCGAAGTGTTTATTTAGCTCATAGCTGTGCATCTGCTCAGTGTGGGCATTCTAGACAGACAAGTGCCAAGGCGGCCTCCATCTCTGCTCTCTGAAAGCACACGACCCAGTATCTCCAAGTGGTGCAGAAGGATGAGCGCCAAGAAGGAGCCACAGTTTGGCTCCAGTGTGGTCTCTTGTTTCCCTAAGGTGACTAGTCTCATTGGAATATTATGTTCCTTTTAGTTTTTTAGGGGGTAGGGTGGGGAGGAGAAAGGCTGATATTCAAATGAAAGAGGTAATGGAAGCCTAAGATTTAAACCTATCGGGATGTCTGGCCATAGTGGAAAGTAAACTAAAATGGCTTTTGGAAGGAATGCTGTTCTATCTAGATGAGGGTCCTAGACGTGTTTCGGGACAAGCAGCTAGAGGAAATGAAGAAATAGGAGGAACCAATTGGATACTTCTGTGAGTCTGGGGTCCCTCCTAGGATGGGAGTGGGAGAAATTCTGGCAGAGCGAAAGAGAGAGAATTCCCATCTGCGAGAGAGGAGCTGTCTTGGGCACAGAGCCCCAGTGAAGGCTTCCCTCAGTGGTTCCCGGCCATGACTGTACATCAGAACCTCTGGGAGGCTTTGCAAACACCCAGCCGACTCTGGGTGCTTCCCTCCAGGGACTCTGCTTTAATTAGTCTGGGCTGGCAACAGTATTTTAAAAAGCTGCCCCAGTAATTAAGTATAGCAAGAGCTGAGCACTAACCACTGGGCTAAATAAATAGATTTGGGGATGGGGGAGAGGAATAAAATAACTCACTTTCCGCTCTCTTCCCTCAGAATTAGGCAGTGTTTCTGAAACCGTCACATGACCACCAGTGATTCTTGAGATGGCATTTGATTTGATGGATTAGCCTTCTTTGCATATATATACATATAGTTCCATATATGCCTATATGTATCTTCATATATCTTTACATATACACATATATATGTAAAAAGATAAGTATACATTTGAATAAATATTAGAAAAACATAATCAGCATATCATATTTGAGAATTCACAGATATTATTACTTAGGGTGAGGCTAAGGTAGGTATGGAACTTTTGAAAGTGAATATATTTCAGAGAACATTCTGTAAATTCTAGAACAAGTGGAATGTGGAGAGGCAAAAACTTCTAAAAGAGGTATGCAGAAAACGGGTGTTTGGGGAACATGAAACTAAAGGAGCCCAGAACCTATACAATCTTTCTGCCCGGGTCTTAACTGTTCTCAACGTGTCTGCAAAGCAGGGCAGCCAGCCCAGTGCCACCCACTCCCCACGCATCTCCCATGGATTCCTGCGCCGCATCCGAGGCACTCAGGTGCTTCCGAAGTGGGCTCAGACCCAAACCAGCCTCGCCTAGCTCGCAGTCACGATCTGATTACTGATGTTGTAACCTGTAACTCACTTGTCTCCTTTTTCAGATTCAAATCTAAGCTAAACTTAACTTAGAGTGCCCTGGACACCTTAGCATAATGGGGCAGAAAACCAGTGCTCACAAGGTGTTCCACCCCACAAGCACAAAACAGAAAGGAAGGCGACCCAAATCCAGGTTATGCAAACTCAAAAGGCGGGGTGAGGGGAGAGCTACGAAAAGCCCAAACCGAGCAAACAAAACCAGCCTGCAGGAAAGACACTGACATTTCACTCTATTTGTCGTTCTCAGGGCATGATGCAACCTCGGGTTGCCCAATTCATGTTTGCAAAATTCTCCCTGGTTCACAGCGAGCTTCAAAATCTTCCAACTCCATAAAATTCCTTTTAAAAAAGTTCCAGTCTCCAATCCAAGAAGCCTGCACTACAGGCCAGGTGCCCTCACCTTCCCTTAGGCCCAAGAAAGTGTGCTGAGAAAGTTCGGAGCGGTCTAGGTAAAGCAGGAAGAAAGAAGGCGCGAAGGCGGGCAGCGATGAACTTGACAGCCACATTTGTACCTTTTGCTCACCGTTCTCACTGCCACTTGATTAGAAGCTGCCAGGGGCAAGGTACATCCTTCACCTGTTCGGGTCCCGTCTCCCGAGCCCTGCTCCTCTCCCCAATCCAAAGAGCACTCATCATGGCAAAGAGGGAAAGTGCCCAGGTCTTCAGCCCTTCTCTTCTTCCTGGTACCTCCCGCTCCCGTTTTCCACATGGTGACAGCCTCCGCGCTACCACGCCACGGCCGCCCCTTAGCACTACCTAACAAAATGGCAGGCTAGCAACAGGCAAGGCCGAGAGCGCCTGCCCCGGCGCCAGCTAAGCGCGGGCCCGGGCCGACCCGACGGGGGGTCTCTGACGGCGCCCCCATACCCGAACACCCTTTTCTCAAAGTCCCCAATCCTCGGTCCCAACGGGCCGCCTGCTCGCTCTCTCGGGGCCATCTCAGTCGCCAGCAAGGGGAACAGGTGCCAGCGCGAACAGGTGCCAGGCAAGAGGGCCCGCTGCGCTGGGCACCGAGAGGGACGCAGGAAAAGGCCACGTTAAAGGGAAGGGACCTGGGGGCGCCCTAGAGGGAGACGGCGCCGGCGACGAGGATGCGGCTCCCGGTCCTGGGTCCCCGGGCGCGAGCCCCGCCGGGGCTGCCCCACTTACGATCTCCAGGCAGACGAAGGCGCCAGAGTAGGTTCGCAGGATGTCGGGGCCGACAGGCAGTGTGACCCGGGGCGCCGGGAAGGACACGGCGGGGTTCGGAGGCGGCAGGACTGGCGCTCCC